TATTGATCCCATTAAATGAAATTGATGTTGAAATTTGACGAGGGGGTGTTTTGAGATATTAAGAGTTTAATATTTCAAATAGGAATTTCTATACGAAATTGAGAGAAATTTTGTAACATAGAAATAGAAAGTTCGTAAAATTCTCTTTCGAATCAGTATATAATATATTATAGATAATTAAATTTTTATATAATAAAATTTTTTAGAAAATCGCTCTTACTGCGATTATCTTTTGTCGGTGAAACGGTTTGAAATAGAATGCCCGATAAATTTATATCTAATTCAGGAGCTGGATAGGAGAAACGACTCTTCTCTCGAAATGCACGCACTCATACTAGTCGGGTAGTAGTGTGTTGCCCAGAGAGAAATTTTGATAAACAATAGATTGCATTTCCCTTGCATATTTTAAAGAAGAAATAAAAAAGTCCATTTTATAAAACTGTGTAAAAAAAAGTCGTAGGTCTAATAGTACTAAAAAGATGTTATATCAGGAATTTCCTAAACACCCCAAAAATTTTATGTTACAGTCACAGATCATAAAATTTTTTTTGTCTCAAAGAGAGAAAGCACACCTTCTTAATCGTGTATTGCTCGTTTAGTCAAAATTATAACTGACGAGCCCGCAGTTAAAAGTATTTGGTATTTTTTGATTTTTTTAACTTTAAGGAAGTTTTTAGGTTATTTTTCGATCTCGGAGATTTTTTTGAAAACAATATTTTGAAAGTACATTTAATGCCAAGTAAAATTAGATATTGTTGAATAAATTTAGCTGAAAATTAATGAAATTGTGTTAATTTTAATATTTTGACTTTTTTCCTTTTTGTATGTATACAAAGTGTTGAAAAACAACCTGTAACTAGTACAATCATTACAACAAATCGAACCATAAAGGAAGAAGATAAAAGATAATATAAATAAGTTTTGATTGATGCTAATTAAATTTTACGAGCCTTATGCTGGTCAATGCGAACATATTGTTTAAAATTTTTTTCAGAGATTTCTGAAAAAATAAGAGACACGGTGGGATATGAACCCACGACCTTTTTATTGCCGGTAGACTGCTCTAACCAACTGACAATGAGCTACGTGTTCCCATAAATTTTCGTCAATCTCGAATAACCTACCCTGTCGAAAGTGAACAATTTATTTAGATTCCTTTCACTTTCGCGTTATTAGGAGATGGTTTTGTGGGATTTTATTTTTTCTATAATTTTTGATTGATGGTAATTGAATTTTACGAGCCTTTTGCTAGCTAATGCTAGCTAGCTAATTATAAAAAAGGTAAAATCAAAAATACCATCTCCTAATAACGTGAAAGTGAAAGGAATCTAAATAAATTGTTCACTTTCGACAGGGTAGGTTATCAGAGATTGACGAAAATTTAGGGGAACACGTAGCTTTTTTGGTTTGAAAAAGCACATTTATTTTCTTCAATTACAATATTACATAAGTAGGACAAAAATGTCTTGCAAATACCTATTACACTAAAAATTTATATTTTGATCTGATATGCAGCCATAGTTCTGGTCAAATAACAGTTTATAAAATAATATGTTTTAAATTCGCACACACTAATAACATTTGTTATAAATATTTGAATAATTCAATATAGTCTTTTAACATTTGCTTAAGGAAAAAATTTTTTTTATTAAAAACCTTTGCAACTTTATTTTGGATTTTTTAAAAAATAAAAATAAGGAAATAAATAAATAAAAATGAGGAGTGAAAAGTGATAAGGAGGAGTATGGATGATTATGATAAGGGAAGGTAAATTGATTGAGAAGAGTTCATAACTTTATCTTGATAACAGTCTTCTATTGCGCCTCCTGGCACGTCGTCTTATTTCCTCGATGTGTTTGGGATTTTCCTGTAGACATCAGTAGTTATTGTTTAATCTTCTTGTAGAGTGGAGATCAATATCAGGAATGGTAATTGAATAGGTGAGATTTTGTGTGGTGTATCTCATCGGGTCTAAGTAAATTGCTTTTTTAGCTTGATGTCATTGTGCATGATAGATTACGGGGATGTTATTCTTGTCTTGGATCAGTTCCATTTTATCAATATGGCAAAATGTTTCAGAGACGGGGTATTTTTGCAAGGTTGTATACATTAGAACCTCGATAAGTCGAACTTGAAGGGAAATCCAAAAAAATTCGAGTTAAAGAGGTTTCGACTTATAGAGGGTTTCGAGTTATAGAAGTTTCTGAAAATATAATTTGACAATAAAGAGGTTTTTCATACTGTACATATATTTTTTATTTTAAACAATTTTAAATTTAATTTAAAAAAAAACTTTTTAACATGAAAAGAAATCTGTTATTTTTGTTTGTTTTAAAGATTCTGAACACTCCTTGTCTACAATGGTTTCTATAGTAAACAATGAAGAGAAGATAGTTTCGTCTATATCATTACACTTTACGATAAAAGTTCTTAGAGTATTCATTGCGTCTCTTGCTTGTTTCGTAGTCACTGTAACGGAAGATGTAGGTAGCTTCTCATAATTTTGCAATAAGTCTTTTTCTTCATCTTCATCATTTTGGTCAATGGAGTCAATTATTTCTGCATCAGTTATTATCCCTGTAGTATCAAGATCCTCATCAAGTACAGTAAACTCTTCAAAGTGATGCCCGCTGTTGATTTTAACCTATTCCACTCTACTGGAATTGTAAGATTCTCTTCAACACTTTCCGCAGATGTGGATGGAAATCCACATTTTTTAAAGCAGTTAGCTATCGTTTCCTGTGTCACACTTCTCCAAGCTTTGTCTATCATCCTCAGTGCATGTAAAACGTTAATAGGTGAATCAGTATCATTCTCCATGTCAGCAATCATTTTTCTGACGACTTCTGTTCTGTATTTTATTTTAAAATTTTGAATAATTCCTTGGTCCAATGGCTGCAATTTAGAAGTTGTGTTAGGTTATTATTTACACTCATACTTTCCCCACAAATTTTTCTGAAGTTTAATCCATGTCTCTTTTTGAATTTTTCCAGCCAACCATTGCTGACACTAAAATTTTCAATTTTCAAAGATTTCGCGTAGAACTCAGCTTTTTCCATTAACACAGGTCCACTCACTCTGATATTTTTATCGCGACATTGTTTAAACCAAGCAATCAAACATTCTTCCAAATTAGGAAATTCAGCAGTCCGTTGTCTTTTAAAAGATAAGTTTTCTCCGCACTCTTCCTTTTCCAATACTGAAGCCTGATTTTTAATTATTGTTGCAAGTGTACTTAAAGGTAGGTCATATTTTAAAGAAATATCTTTTCTTTTCACACCATTTTTCACATCTTCAATAACTTTTAAGTTTTCCGCATATGATAAAGTTTTTAATTTTCGTTCCGTACTCATCGTTATTGAAGATACAAATGCAAACTAAACGAGCAATAATACATAGCTCTTAAATTTAATACAGGAGCCTCTGTTTGATAACAATTAACATTGAAGTAGATTCGAGATATAGAGGTAGCGAAAACCAAACCTTCGAGTTTCAGAGGTTTTGAGGGCCATACGTACTAAATTCGAGTTATAGAGGTTGCGAAACTGAAATTCAAGTTATATAGGTTAAAATACATGGAAAAGTTATTCGAGGGAAATCCAAATTCGTTCGAGTTATAGAGGCTCCATTATTTGAGTTGAAGAGGTTTTCGAGCTTCAAGGGAAGGGAACAGGCATTTTCTTCGACTTGCAGAGGTTTTCGACTTATCGAGGTTCTACTGTATTATACTATTGTTGATTCTTTTTTTGTAATTTGATGAGGCTGATCTATATGTTCTATAACATGCTCTTAGACATGATCTCTCTATCTGTCTGTATTGTTCCATTACTGATGGTCCCGTGTTCTACAAGATAGGAAAAGAATATGCCATTATAGGACGAATGAGGAGGAGAAAGCAGATTGTTTTTGCTTTAGGAAGTAAAGATGAATTATAGAAAATCTTTGAATTCGCTCTAGTTGCTTTTTTGGCCTTATCGAGTTGTGTTTTATGGTGATGATTCATCCTAAGAAGGTACTCAAAGTGTACACCGAGATATTTAACAACACTTTTATTTGGAATTTCTGTGATTGTAGTAACGTTATCGGAAGTTATATTATGAATAGATGTTTTAAAAGAATCGAGTCTTTTAACTGTAGTGTAGGGTATTTCATTAACTGTTTTTCTAAAAAGTATTGTTTCACATTTTGAAGGGTTTATTTTTAGGTTCCAATTAAGGTAGTGTATATTAATATTATTAATGAGACTATTTAATTTTTGTTGTATTATATCTACGCATTTGTTTGCAACATAGATAATGAGATCATCGCGTAGGCTATTGAGTGAGTGTTGTTATTTGAGTTCATGTCGAATTCATTTATGGTGTACACATTGAATTGGATAGGGGAGGTGACAGTTCCCTGTTGAAGTCCTTCCTTGATGATGAATGTTTTATCGGAAAAGGTATTTCCATACCACGTTTTGAAATTTTTTCCATTAACCATGTCTGCTCTAAGGTGAATTAAGTTTTTTGGGAAATTTAGTCTCTTCATTTTATATATGAGATCATTCAACCAGACAGAGTCGAAGGCCTTTTCAAGGTCAATCAGTATTGCTCCAACCAATTTTCAGTCGAGTAGATATGAGTTTATGTCCGATGAAAGTTTATGAATTGCGTGAGTTGTAGAATGACATCTTCTAAAACCAAATTGGTTGTCAGGGATAATATTGTTTTTATGAATATGGTAATTGAGGTCAGATTGATTGCGTTGATTGTTAATCATAAATCAAGAAATTGAAATTAAAAAAGTACCTAGAATGTTCGAATTTTTTTTTCTCCATTTATATAGCATTTTCAGCCTTATCATAAACCGAACTTTCTGATATAACATCTTTTTTAGTACTACTAGACCTACAACTTGTGATAGGTCTCTATAAAAATGCAAGCAATTTTTTTTGTTACACAATGTAATATGATTTAATGTACATTTGTTTTATTTAAGAATTTTTCGATATTTTTCAGAGGACCTTTTATCACAGCTTTGGGACAAATTTGGTGCCCTGAACATTTTGTCTGCGGTAACGTACAATGTAATCGTGGATTACAAGACATCGGCTTCGTAGAAGAAAAGGGGCAACTTTATTGCGAGTACTGTTTCGAGAAATACATTGCACCACCTTGTGACAAATGCGGAGGCAAAATTAAAGGCGTAAGTTAAAATATTGTTCTTACAGAGTCGTCTTAAAATCATTGGATTGATTCTGTTGGTACTATTAATTAATAAACCTTGCTATTTAATTATAATTAAATTTTATTTTTTGTTATAGCATCACGTACCCTTACATTAAAATTCTGCAAAGAAATTTAAAGTCGTAAAGGAAATTAGATTTCAATAGCGTTATAATATTTAAACATATATTAATAATAGTTATTAGTAAAGAAAATTATGTTGTATTAACATAAGATGCAACGATATTTTAATACTAAATTGTCTTATGTAAATATGTTCATTATTTTTTATGTAAATTCTCATTCTTTTAAACTTTTTTTTGTGCAACTGGCAACTGTATTAAAGATAAAATTAATCAATATAAAAATAACTGCAGACTGGATAATAGAAATAATCATGTGATTAAAAATAATAACGTTAAAATTTTTGTTTCAAATTTTCTAAATACGTTTTTCATTTTGATTCAAAAAACAATTATGGTAATAAGTTTTTTCTTGAACCACTTTTAATTCACTAATGTTTAAAAATAATTTTAAAATATTGTTTAACCTAAAATTATGTTTTTTTCTAAATATGATTTATATAATTAATTTTCAGTATTTAAATTTGTAGAAGTCCAGCTTTGATGGACCATAGCAAATTTAAAAAAAAATGTTTCAAAGATATGACTTTACAAAAAAAATTAACATCTTTGCTATAGTTAAAAACTCCAAAGAAACTAACATCTATAATAAATTGGGTTAAAATGAGATAAAATTAAATTTAAATATAACCTTTGCATCTTTTTTAATGCAACACCATAGAGATTTATTAATTTATTATTCAAATTTATGAGTAATTAATATTATAAAAAATATTCAAACACGAGAAACAAAGTTATTGAAATAGAAGATAATAAAATACAAAAAAGGAAAGTAATGTAAATATTGTTTGAAAAAAATATTTAAGACTACATTATAGAAAGAGGAAATGTTGGATTAACTATTTATTCTGCTGTTAATTTTTCCAATGGGTGAGTGCAGTAAATGGTGAAGTTTAACAAAATGTATTCGTCTTTGCCAATAATGTAGTAATTAGACAAATTTTTTATCTAAACTTACTGTTTGTCGTAAAAAATTATTTCATTTATTTGCACGGTGAGCTTGGACAAACTTCAACCCAAAAGTTCTTGCTCATCTAATATTTTTTCTGATATAAATAAGACCAAAACGAAAAAAATTCATCGATAAAATTTTAAATAAACTCAATTTTTCGATTTTTAATTAAAGATTCTTATATAGACAGATAATTAGATCGTTCATTCATCTATAATATATAAAAACAAAAAATTAAGAAAATTAATTATACAAATAAAATAAATTAGGAGCTACTTGGATAAAAACAAACGGAGAATAGCTCTCAAACGTTCGCAAATTGCCTAAAATAAAAACAAAATTTTTTCATACAATTTCCACACTAAGACGATCAAATAGGATCAGTTGCAAAAAAATGATAAATTTTTTTACTAATTAACAGACTTTCAGAAGACATAATAGACATCAATATATGAAATAAACTTTCTTCGCTAATATTATATTATATTATATCAATAATTATTAATTTATTAAAATTATTTTAATTATAATATTTTACATATAATTTTTGAGGATAATAAATTAAAACAATTAGTAATTAGTTTTTTTTATAATTGTCTAATGTTTAAATTAAATTATCAATAAATCATTTAAAAGCAAATAAACATCTAAAATGTTTATTTGCCTAGAAAATAATAAAAATATGCACAAATTCGTAATATTATTAGGTACAGTAAAACACGTCAAGAATTATTCTAATATCACTTATCAGAACGGCCGAGTTGCGTAAAGCGTGCGTTTCTCTCGTTCACGTACCAGCGGACCCGTGTTCGCTTTCCGGTACCACCAAGATTTTTTCTTTGAAATTGCGAGAAGTGTTTTAAGGTTCATGTTACGACATTCATATTAATATAATAATTATAATTGTTTCAGTGTTGTTAATAGTTCAGTCAAGATGTGGATGTGTTGCTTCAATCTTTTCACTTATGTAATTTCTTTTTAAATCCAGTATAATTGTGAATCAAAAATTACATATAACCAATTAGGGTCAGTTGGGGTAAATGGAGACAGGGGGTAAATGGGGATCACCTGCAAGAGGTTCTGAGTATTGCCAAGCTTTTATCTTGACAATTGGCAGCAAGACAAAAAAGTTATTATAATGACAAGCTGTCCCCATTTACCCCAAAAATTCGAAAACTCAGGGTAAATGGGGACAGCTTGCCATTATTAACGAAATTGACAAAAATCAAAAATTCAAGTGAATTTCTGTTATAGGAGTCATAAGGAATAAGAAAAAAATTTGGTATGATTTTTAAGTCTGTTTTCTTTGAAATGCGAGAAAAATAACTGAAATAAAAAAAAATAAAAAAAAATTAATTGGTTCAACTATAATATATCTACCACAAATTTTTTCATCCCTTAATACAGTAATATACTTTAGGAATCTTTTGTCTTAAAACTTTCTTAGAAACTACCCAAGTAGCACGATATATCAACCAGATGTCACGGTGATATCACCGGGGAATGTCACCGTGACATCAGGAAAATGTCAAAATGTCCGCCTTACGGTGATATCACACGGTGACATCGAGGTGATATCATGGTGACATCAAGGTGATATCACAGTCATATCACGGTGATATCATGGTGATATCACCGTGATATCATGTTGATATTTTACAGGGACTTAAAATTTTTAATAATTTAGAAAATAATAATAAATAAAAAAAATAATAAAAATAATAAAAAAAATAGTAAAAAATAATAATTTTTAAAACATTTTAAATCCCTGTAAAATATCAACATGATATCACGGTGATATCACCATGATATCACCGTGATATGACTGTGATATCACCTTGATGTCACCATGATATCACCACGATGTCACCGTGTGATATCACCGTAAGGCGGACATTTTGACATTTTCCTGATGTCACGGTGACATTCCCCGGTGATATCACCGTAACATCTGGTTGATATATCGTGCTACTTGGGTATGCTGTCCCCATTTACCCCAAATTTTATGAAATTTTCTAAATTTTGGGGTAAATGGGGACAGTCAGTTTCATGCATTTAAAGCATATCTAAATTTTTTCTGCGGCATAAAATTAATCCTAGGAACATAAATAACAACTTAAAAAAATATAAACCTGCAAATATTACCTTTTAAAGGAAGAAACTTACGTAATTTGTGAAAAATAGCGATTTTGTCCCCATTTACCCCAATTGACCCTTTACATATATATATAAATTGCTAATATTAAATAATACAGTAGAACCTCGATAAGTCGAACTTGAAGGGAAATCCAAAAAAATTCGAGTTAAAGAGGTTTCGACTTATAGAGGGTTTCGAGTTATAGAAGTTTCTGAAAATATAATTTGACAATAAAGAGGTTTTTCATACTGTACATATATTTTTTATTTTAAACAATTTTAAATTTAATTTAAAAAAAAAACTTTTTAACATGAAAAGAAATCTGTTATTTTTGTTTGTTTTAAAGATTCTGAACACTCCTTGTCTACAATGGTTTCTATAGTAAACAATGAAGAGAAGATAGTTTCGTCTATATCATTACACTTTACGATAAAAGTTCTTAGAGTATTCATTGCGTCTCTTGCTTGTTTCGTAGTCACTGTAACGGAAGATGTAGGTAGCTTCTCATAATTTTGCAATAAGTCTTTTTCTTCATCTTCATCATTTTGGTCAATGGAGTCAATTATTTCTGCATCAGTTATTATCCCTGTAGTATCAAGATCCTCATCAAGTACAGTGAACTCTTCAAAGTGATGCCCGCTGTTGATTTTAACCTATTCCACTCTACTGGAATTGTAAGATTCTCTTCAACACTTTCCGCAGATGTGGATGGAAATCCACATTTTTTAAAGCAGTTAGCTATCGTTTCCTGTGTCACACTTCTCCAAGCTTTGTCTATCATCCTCAGTGCATGTAAAACGTTAATAGGTGAATCAGTATCATTCTCCATGTCAGCAATCATTTTTCTGACGACTTCTGTTCTGTATTTTATTTTAAAATTTTGAATAATTCCTTGGTCCAATGGCTGCAATTTAGAAGTTGTGTTAGGTCATTATTTACACTCATACTTTCCCCACAAATTTTTCTGAAGTTTAATCCATGTCTCTTTTTGAATTTTTCCAGCCAACCATTGCTGACACTAAAATTTTCAATTTTCAAAGATTTCGCGTAGAACTCAGCTTTTTCCATTAACACAGGTCCACTCACTCTGATATTTTTATCGCGACATTGTTTAAACCAAGCAATCAAACATTCTTCCAAATTAGGAAATTCAGCAGTCCGTTGTCTTTTAAAAGATAAGTTTTCTCCGCACTCTTCCTTTTCCAATACTGAAGCCTGATTTTTAATTATTGTTACAAGTGTACTTAAAGGTAGGTCATATTTTAAAGAAATATCTTTTCTTTTCACACCATTTTTCACATCTTCAATAACTTTTAACTTTTCCGCATATGATAAAGTTTTTAATTTTCGTTCCGTACTCATCGTTATTGAAGATACAAATGCAAACTAAACGAGCAATAATACATTGCTCTTAAATTTAATACAGGAGCCTCTGTTTGATAACAATTAACATTGAAGTAGATTCGAGATATAGAGGTAGCGAAAAACAAAACCTTCGAGTTTCAGAGGTTTTGAGGGCCATACGTACTAAATTCGAGTTATAGAGGTTAAAATACATGGAAAAGTTATTCGAGGGAAATCAAAATTCGTTCGAGTTATAGAGGCTCCATTATTCGAGTTGAAGAGGTTTTCGAGCTTCAAGGGAAGGGAACAGGCATTTTCTTCGACTTGCAGAGGTTTTCGACTTATCGAGGTTCGACTTATCGAGGTTCTACTGTAATATAAATCACTATTATGAGTAATATAAATAATATTTGTTAATTAAAAAAATTTTACTGCACCAATTTTTTGGAGTAAATTGAAATTTATATGTACTGTCCACTTAACTGAAGCAAAGATTTATTTCCTTTCAAATTAAAAAGTAAAAGGCAATAAATTCTAAAATACAATAATTAAAAGATTTAACAATTTTTACATTCATTTTAATTAACATATTTAAGAATTAACAAATAAAAATTATTAATATTTTAGAAATGATATACTAATATACTCATTGTAATAAATAATAAACAACTGTTAAATTGTTTGATGGTTTCACAAAATAATAAACATTTCCTAAGAAACCTTCATATTCTCCTTTGGTCGAGCGCGTCTAGGCGCAGATCCCAGTACGGTTGAGCCCTGCAGTGTAGATACACTAGTGATGGTCGAGAGCCCGAATCTCGGGAGTAAACCGGTTAAAAAATTTTGAGAATGTGTTAGGATTACTAATTATTTCTATTTCATTAACATTATCAACATCAAATAAGGAAAAAATATGACACTCTCTTAAATTATTATGTTAATTTCAACTGTATTATCCCTCACAGCACCAGATATCCTAGGATATTCCAAAAACATCCCTTGGATATCCTAGGGATACCCCAGGGATATCCTAAGGATACTTTAAGGATATCCAAAGTAGCGGCGGTTAGGATATCCTAGGGATATCTAAGGATGTCCCTAGGACGTCCCAGGGATATCCTATTTATTTCCCCGGATATTATTAGGATATCTTCAGGATATCCTAAGGATATCCCTGGAATAATTAGGGATGTCTTTAGGACGTCCTAAGGATATCCACAGTATGTATATATTATCTTAAGGGTTAGAATATCCTTGAGTCGTTCTAAAAATGTCCCTAAGGTATCCATAAAACGACCCTAACATACAAATTAATTAAATAAAAATGGAAAACTTATTTTTTGGATGTATTTATAATGTATTTCCAAGATATCTAAAATGATTTACCTTGTCTACAAGAATTCTTTTTTCTACTTTTTCTTTAAAAAATCTCTTGAAACCAACTCAAGCGCTAACTATGAAACACTTGCTCAACTGTACATATTTTATGTTATTTGGCACAATCTAGCCCACTGCTCCATGTGGGCAAACAGCCGAGTTGTTCCTCCTGTCCCTAGTCTTCGCTGCACAGTGGCCAGAATCTTTAATTTACTGTTGAAAAAAGTCACTGAACAAGATCATGCCACAATTGTATATTGTGTATCTAGGGAGGAAAATGGTTGATTTTCACGACTGTAGTTTGCAGTTTGAAGTGTAGCGAGCGCACGAACCGCAGGCGAAGGTTTGCGAGTGAAGACGAGAACTGTAAAACACGAGTGGAAATCATTTTCCTCCCGAGTTGCACATACTATTTTTTCGAACACACGTATACCGAAAGTACAAACGCGGTAGTATGGATACTATTGATGATGGTATGATTGTGTCTAGTAGTAGTATAGTTACTACTTGTGGTGTACCAGACGTTTAAGACTCACTATTGATTAATATGTAATACCTAATAACAACATCACCGGGAGGGAAAGTAACTTTCCCTCCCGCTCAGTGACGTCACCGGGACGGAATGTAACTTTCCCTCCCGCTCGTCGGAAAAGACATACTTTTCTCCCGCTACACAGGTAAGAAATGGTGTACTTTCGGTGCGTGTGTTAGAACAAAAATTTTTCATTCTGTCAGTCGCATAAAAAACAAATTTAATGTGTCGAAAATCGCATTTTTGGCTTAAATATATGCTCTAATTATCAACTTTAAGGCTCAGATTTGAAAGATGATTGACAATCACGGGAAACCTATTTGTATCAAAAAATCGCTATCTCAAATAGTCAAAATTTGAATCATATTGATATCCTAGGGAGATCTTAGCGATATTTCTAGAATATTTTAACGATATACTAAGTTTATCCCAAGAATATCCCCACGATAACACTAGGATATCCCTAGAATATCCTTAGAATATCCTTAGGATATCATCAGGATATCCCAGAATATCATCAGTATATCCCCAGGATATCCCAAAAATATCCTACGTAACGGCGGTTTGGATGTTATGAGGATATCCTATGGACGTTTTCAGGATATCCTATATTAGTTTAGGATATCTTGAGGATATCCTCAGGATATCCTTTTGTTGTGAGGGATTTTGTAACAAAGTTCTATATTTGTTACATATGTGTTATATAAGATGTTACTGGATTTAAAAAATTTGTAATTGATTTATATAATCGTTACATATCTGTTATAAATCACTAGTAACAGTGTTATGTATTTGTTACATATCTGTTACAGAGATCAGAGCTGACATTTATCGTAACCTGCTTGTAACAGAACATGTTACATTTTGTTATATAACAAATATATAACCATTACGTATTCGTGTTTGCTGAGTTTTAACCTCCAAAAAACGGATTTTTGGCTATATCTTTGATTCAACTAAATATTTTTAAATTCTGTGAATTGATAATTTTAAGTTAGCTGTTTCTTTAATAAAAAAACCTAACTACACTTGATTTGGTTGAGCCGTTTTTGAGTGATGCGCGAACAAATTTTTGCATACAGACAGACAGACAAAATTTTTTTACACAAATCAAATTCTGATTTCTTAAGACGAAAAAATATATGAAAATTTCCAAGTTTGGGGCAATGTACAGACAGAAGACAGATTTTATTTATATAGATATAATACTATATTTAAACTAAATATAATATTTAAATTTGGTTTTAAATTTTTTTGGTATTAATAATATTTTTTTAAACTTACAAATATCACAGTTGAGAAATTTTTGAAAAATTGATGATAAACGACTATTTTTACGTCTATTTTAGAATGTTGTAAGGTTTTAAAGTAATTATCAGCATTTTTATCATGAAACATCTTCCTCGATGGCAGTAGAAAGATCTGAAGGCAAACTAAAAAATTTTGTTCTTTAATTTGATAAAAGTGTATAATAAAAAAAATAATATTATTACATAAAATAAAAATAAATAGATAAAACTAACAATCTTAAAAAAATCGAAAAATTGAGTTTATTTAAAATTTTATTGATGAATTTTTTTTTGTCTTGAAATTATCGCGTGGCATCACTAAAACAATATTAGTAAAAAAATTGGATGAGCAAGAACTTTTGGGTTGAAGTTACTCCAAGCTTACCATGTTTATCGAAAGAATTTATCAGACAAATTGTAAAATAAAGGATTTTTGTGAGAAAATTGATCAAAACAATCCATATTTAAAATTTTTCCTATTGTCAGTTTTATATTGGTGATTGAAACAGTTAAAGCAGCAAAATTAACTGCCTGTTTTAAACTAACATGAGCGTGACTCTTTGTGAATTCTCTATATCATTCCATGTATTTTTACTGTTTGCACTTTTTAAAAAATTATTATTTTTTATTATTAATATTAAATTAATCTCGTAATGAAATTTTTCGGTGATAATCTAAAATTTCCAGTATAAACATATGAATCGTGTAAAAACTCAATATTAATCAATATAAAAAAATACTAAATCTTATACAATTGAAGTCACTCCACATGCAGGACAAAAGCAAGATCAGTATATAAATATATAAAATTCATTAGCAGTTTCGTGATATAATAATTTTGAGGGTTGGAACTTATCTTTATTATTTTGTTTAAATTTGTGCGAGAACTAGCTGATTGAACTTCCTGATATATATCTTGGAGAATGTCAATTTATATTGGACACAGCCAAGCGTTGTTACTCTTATAATCAAGGATGTCGTATAAATATGTGACGCTCCACGAGAAAAGGGACCTATCGGGACAAAAAATTAATTTCCAATTTTATATGCGAATCGATAGAATTTAAGTTGCTCTTTCATATAGAAATGTCAAAAATAATATTTTTCTAATTACTTTTTTTGTAATAAAACTTTAAACATGACCATGTTAATCGCGTTCCAGCACGAACTACGGAAACCATCCACACCACTACTACTAGTATACTTGTTGTATCCGTGAGACGTAGGAACGATGTAGTAGTAAGGTAGTGGGGATGATTTTCGTTGGCGCGTCTCAGCTAATCAGAACGTTCGACTTTAAACGCCTTTCCTGTATAATTCTGTTTCCTCTTACTACTATATATGCACAGCATCTCGTCTTATACTTTTTATTTGAGCGAAGCTCCACACAAGAACCGAAACTATATTATAAAAAATTATTTATCTTTTACTTAATGTTCACAACTTTACAATATCTTTAAACACACTTACCTCACACTAGGTTACGGTGCTCTTTCTCCAACCACTCTCACGAAAGTGATTACGCGTCACAATAGCTTCACAGAAAAAACCTAGTCTCATTTTTGTTGCAAATCAAAATGAGCCAATGCTAAACGACATAGACAGAGGCGCCACCAACCTGGTTCACTTTTGTTGCACATCAAAATGAGTCGCCTAGGCGGCTCATTCTGAGTTCAGTTTTTTTCTGTGTTGTCTTACGTCGATTTCAATTCAGCTTCACGAATCTACCCGAATATTGTCTATCTCTATACTCTCTCATACTATGATTCGTTACAATCGTATTTTATTTTCTGTGTTGTCTTACGTCGATTTCAATTCAGCTTCACGAATCTACCCGAATATTGTCTATCTCTATACTCTCTCATACTATGATTCGTTACAATCGTATTTTCATTTCAGTAAAGGTAAAAATAAAAGTGAAAATCAAAGTCAAGATAAAGACGAAAGTAAAAGTCATAATGAAAGTTAATGTTGATGTGAAAGTCAAAAGGATATTTCATAATTGCATCCTAGAGATTTTCAGCAGACTGCAAACAATAAAAATAAACCATCGAAAACAGAGAAAATACATGGGGTGCTATGAAGAATTTACAGAGTCACGTACACATTAGTTCAAAACAGACCGCTGGTAGCGCTGTTTTAATTGTTTAAATCGCCAATATCATAAGTGTCATTTTGTTTATTTATTTTGGTATCGGAACTGACGTCAATTCTGAAGTCCGATTTAAAATTTTTTTCTATTTTTATATATTTGAAAGAAAGATAAAATAATAATATTGAATAAATTAAGAAAATTAACTTTTTTGTAAATTTAAAAATCATTTTTTTAATCCAAAATTTTAATTTCAAAAATGACATATTTTATATTTAATAAGTAATTTTTTTATAATGCCTTGCGTCAAAAATTCGACTAAATCACTGTCTATATTAAGCACTAGTACTTAAAAGGAGGGGAAATTGTACTTTTACACACACTTTCTCCTTCTACTACAGCAATTTAGTCCAGATTTGACGCAAAATGTTATAAAAAATTATGTATGGGGCATGGGAGCAAATAGGGGAATCTCGACTCGAGTGATTGTCACACTCACTTCGCTAGTGTGTCAAACTCCCACGAGTCTCGATTCCCCTACTTTTGCGCACTTGCCACATAAATAACTATTTTTATATAAACTTTTTACAGTACTGGAAGAGTCTGTGAAGCCATGAAGACTCAGGCCAGTCTGACTAGCCGGTCATATAGATAGGTCAATAGCGATACACTTCGGTATTATTATGGCATTTCAGTTGTAGATTAGCCTCTTGCTTTGTTTAAAACACAATAGTTACAAGTTTTTAACCCCTTGACAGTCTTGAATACATATACGGCAAACAATGGAGGCAAACAATATGAAAATAATTATATGATTCTCTTGATACTTACTACTTAAAGGTTTTCGAGGTCGCTGATTAAGAATCTGGTGTCAGATTTTCATAATTTAAAGTGGCGGATCTAATATGACGCAGTTTTTAAAACTTATCTAATTCCTTTAAATTCGTTACTCGGCACGCACACACGGAGAAACTGTGTGTATCACTTTTTGTTAAACTCATATGTATTTTTAGTAAATTGACTACTAAAGTGGGGAAAAAACGGGAAAAAGACGAAATTTCTTATTTAATAGAAGTCTCTTTAACAATATATGACTTCTTTTTTTCAATATTTAGTAGTCAAGTTAAGAAAAATTCGACGTGGACAGTGTCATAACTAAAAAGGGTTAGATGAAGCACCGACTTAATCGCAACAATTATTAATTAACTTTTAATTGAATCATAAATAATATTAATGAGGCTTTAGTTTAGGTTATTTTTCTTTTTCTGTGTTTAAAATTTCACAATCCGGTTAAATTATACATCGAAAATACTGTTTTTATGAAGTTAGGGGCGCTTCAAACATACTGTACTCTCCTGAGCACATGTGAGCTTGTCTATGAAACCCCCCAAAAAAATATATCATGTCATGTACATCTCTTATCCAAGCATATAATTCTTTTAATTATTGAGAATCGGTTTCAAATGAACACTATTTTTGTTTTTTCTTTTTTTGTAAAGTTGAAGTGTATTTGTGTTAGGTGCGATACAATACTTATACGACAAAGTTATTAATCAAGACAAGACAGCGGAAACACCAAGGCGAAGGAACAAGTTCTCATCAGATCACGGAAGTTAAGCAACGTTGGACGCGGTTAGTACTTGGATGGGTGACTGCTTGAATTGACATTCGACGATATGTTTTTTCGTGAAATTTAATTTTCGATCAAATGCCAAATTTTAGTAGTCAGACTAAGAAAAATTGATATCGTTGCAGTTTTTCCCCACTTTAGTAGTCAATTTACTTAAAATACATAGTGAGTTTAAGAAAAAGTAATACTCAAAGTTTCTCCGTGCAGTGTCTTATTTTTGCATTTTCATTTTCAAAACCTAATTTCTCTTGAAGAAATTGACCAAATAGAATAAACCTTGGAGCAAAATAAAGCCTCGAATAAAGCTAAATAAATGTAGAATGCATGAAAACTATAGAGAATCCTTGATTTACTTTTTTAAGCTCCTGCGAGTTGAGTGTAGTTAACATTTTTTATGAAAAAATGACAAAATGGAGTATAAAAACCTGTAAACCATGGTAAAACTTAAAAAAAACTTTTTTGTAAGCATGTGGGATCATTGAATATAAAAATAAAGTTCAAGTCTTGAAATTCAAAATTGCATATTCATTTTTTTTTGTTTTTTTGTTCAAAGTGCAGTATTCTAATGTTCTCGAGGTCGCTAAATCCAAATATGCTGGTAAAATTTAAAAATTCAAAATAACAAACATAATATGGCAGAAAAAAAATTTTAAAAAACCTTAGATTTTAACAAGACTTGGTACTTTAACGTTTTTGAGGTCGCTCAATCCAAGTATAATGGTAAAATTTAAAAATTCAAAATGACTGACCCAATATGGCATACAAAAAATTTTTTAAAATGCTTAGATTAAACATGACTTAGTACTTAAACGTATCGAGGTCGCTGAATTCAAATATGATGATAAAATTAAAAAATTCAAAAAGGCAGACTCAGTATGGCGGACAAAATTTTTTTAAAATGCTTAGATTTCAACAAAACGTAATAGTTTATTGTTTTTCTGGTCAAAAAACTCAAATATGATGTTTCAATTGAAAAATTTTTTTAAGGGGGAGGGGTATGGTATTTAATTTTTTTTTTGAATTTTATTATTTTTTAAATTGAATGTATAATAATTCAAGAATATTGTGTGAAAATTTCAAGACGATCGGAGCAAAATTGACGAAGTTATGAGCATTTGAGCATGGGCGGGCTGTGTTTTAGTATATTTTTAATTAAGTTTATGTTTAACCTTTTGCGGACATTTCTGAATATTTTCTGATTTCGTTGATGTGTACGTATAAGTTTTGGGGTCGCTGATTACGAATCTGAAGTCAGATTTCAAAAATAGTCAAAATTTAAAATTACGTTTTTCTCGAAATGACATTTTTGAAGTCCGTGTTCACGATATCTCAAAATCTAGTGAACCAATCGTTTTGAAATTTGGATTAGTAATTCTTGACTTACTTCCCGGGTAACTACGAGAGCTTTTTTCAATAATTATTAATTAAACAGAAAGAATAGATCTATTTTTTTAACGAAAACATCTCCTTTAACAAAAATTCTTTTTTTTATTTAGATGATTCTGTTGCGAGTTACGTTGAACACCGTAAATCCATTCTTTACGAGGCGCTTGAACAGATTTACTGCCACTCGTTCAATTTGCTATATTTTTCAATGAGAATTTATGAAAATATACTTCAAATATTAATATGTGGAAATTAAGTTAATAAAGTAACACACTTTATATCACCGAAAAAATTATTAAAAAAGTGCCTTTTTACACCAAATTAACCATACCCCTCTTAAATTGCACATATAAAGTAATAGAGAATCTAACACAATTTGTTTTGAAATTTATTTCAACGATTAGAATAACTGGATATTAGTAGAACTAAACAATTGTTCACTTCTTCTTAATCTTCCGTTAAATATCTATCACTTAGAGAACTTGTGTCCCTTTCGTAGGTATCTTCAACTGTAATATGTTTTAAAATATATTACATTTATACTCAAATTTATTCAAATTTGAAATATGTAACTTACATAAATTCTTCAGAATTAAACGTAGAAATATTTTATTAACTTCGAATTTGACTATTGAGTATAAAATATGTAATAATGTCCAGTTGTTCTAATCGTTGAAATATATTTTTAAACAAATTATGTTAGATGCTCTATTATTTTTACATGACTACATGAGCATTTAAAAATTTTTTTTGTCCGCCATATTGGGTCCTTCATTTTGAATTTTTAAATTTTATTATTATATTTGGATTTAGCGACCTCGAGAACGTAAAAGTACCAAGTCTTGTTGAAATCTAAGCATTTTTAAAATTTTTTGTCCGCCATATTAGGTTTGTTATTTTTAAATTTTACCAGCATATTTGGATTCAGCGACACCGAAACCATTAGAATACTGCACTTTGAACAAATCAGAAAGTTTTTCAAAATTTTGGTAATTTAGTCCGCCATGATCCTACATGCTTACATAAAAGTTGTTTTTTTAAGTTTCACCATGGTTTACAGGTTTTTATACTCCATTTTGTCATTTTTTCATAAAAAATGCTAACTATACTCAACTCGCAGGAGCTTAAAAAAGTAAATCAAGGATTCTCTATAGTTTTCATGCATTCTACATTTATTTAGCTTTATTCGAGGCTTTATTTTGCTCCAAGGTTTATTCTATTTGGTCAATTTCTTCAAGAGAAATTAGGTTTTGAAAATGAAAATGCAAAAATAACACAGTCTGCCACGGTTCGCCGAAAAGATATTTTGTAAAAATTTTCAAGTCCCTCCGATTTTCATTTTATAAATGGTAGTTCGAGGTGCCAGGAAGTCAGTCCAAAAGTTTTTAAAATCGAAAACAAATGCTCCACCCCTTAAAACAGCATAAAACCAATAAAAATTTTAAAATCAGGTCTTACGTGAAGAGAAAATAGCTTGTACTTATATCTACTTATATTACAAAAAGATATCGCCGCCGCCGCCGCCGCTGTTCAAAGACTCTGAATATAGCCGCAAGTCAAGAGAAGGGGGGTAGAAGAGAAGGGAGGGGACTTGCAGCTATATTCAGAGTCTTGAAACGATATTAACCTCTAAATTTAGGGTGGAGGAATGGGGGTTGGCGCGCGAAGCCGCTGCCGCCGCTGTTCCAAGACTCTGCATATAGCCGCAAGTCAAGAGAAGGGGGGTAAAAGAAAAGGGCGGGGGGACTTACGACTATATTCAGAGTCTTGAAACGATCTTAACCTTTAAATTTGGGGTGGGGGAGGGAAAGAGAGGAGGGGGGATGGGGGTTGGCGCGCGAAGCGCGCAGGGGGCATAGCCCCCTAGTATATATATATAGATAGGTACCTCTGATTTATTTTTTTAAATGGTTCTTCAGGGTACCAAGAAGTTATTGTAATAGTTTTTGAAATCAAAAACTCATGCCCCCCGCGAAAAGTATACCAGCAGTAATTGTCGGTACGCCTGACGTGCGAGGAGTGAAAATTTGGTGTTGGCTTTAAAGAAATAAATTTTATGTTAGAAAAAAGTAAGAGACTTGTAACATAAATGGTTTTGACTGTAGGCCGAATTTCGAGATTTCTCACATATTGCTCCAAAGATTAACTAAAATGCAATGTTTTTGCTGTACATTGTAAAAATATTTGACCAATAGCTAAGCAGCTCATTTGAAATTTTTGGGGACAATATTCTGGACATATTAAACTATTTTTTAAGCTAAAAAAAAGAAAATCGATTTTTCAAAAGTTGAAACCCACCTAATCCCTTAAGAGATATCCAACCGACCTGAGACTTTTGAGTTTTGATACACCCGTATGTATATTTGACTAAATGACAAAAATTAAAATCTACATAACTTTTTATAAAAAAACTATGTAAATAATTTTCAAAACTGTGCTTTAAAGCTAAAAAGTATTACTTTACGTTGCAATTTGGGAAAATGAAAAAAAAAATTTGTAAGCTATTTAAACTAAGATTACAAAAAATCCTGACATGAAAGGCTTATGATGATAGGATTTGCTTAATTTATTAAATATTATTATTTTTATCATCCTTTGAAATAAATAATATTAAAATAGTTGTAAAATTTTAAATCTGGCATTGGATCCGAGGCCGGTTTCGATACCAAAATATTACATCTTTTAGATTAAGAAAATCCTAGAAGCAAAATATGCCATCGAGAGCTTTTTGAAAAAATTGATTTTAAAATATGTTTTTCATGAAAAAAATTGATTTTGAAATTTGTTTTTAATGAAAAAAAATTTTTTAAACTAAATTTTGTTTACGATTATTATTCTCAGTAAAATACATTGCAAACAAATAAATGTATTTTACTGAGAATCATAATCATAAATAAAATTTAGTATAAAAATTTTTTTCAAGAGAAACAAATTTCAAAATCACTTTTTTCAAAAATTTCTCTGTAGCAGATTTTGATTCTATGATTTTCTTAATCTAAAAGCATAATACTTCCAAAATCCACAAGAAAATCTGAAGTGTTATGACTTTTGGTTTAATTTTTTTTGGGCGTACCGTGCTGGGTCTTGCAGAAAGAAAGCTCTCCAATTAAAAAACTATATTATTAAGGGACATATTTCAGAAGGTCTTATAAAAATGTTACATTTGTTTTTTATTGTCTGTTTAATTTATAAATGAGTTTTGACAAATATTTTTTATAAAACTATTATTTTTCATCTAGGATTGTTTGAACGCAGTTGGAAAGCATTTTCATCCTGAATGTTTCAATTGTTCTCATTGCGGCAAGTTGTTTGGAAACAGTCCCTTCTTTTTGGAAGAAGGTTTACCGTACTGTGAAAACGGTAAGATTTTTACAACTAATAACAAAAAATTGACATTCTGTGAATAACTTTAGTCTCAAAAGTTTAAAACATCAAATTCAAATGTAGTGAATAATTTCTAAATTCATTGAATTTTTTTAAAAGGAGATCTTTACTCGGGGATGTTCGTGGTTGCTGATTAAAAATATGAATTCTTATCCTACGAAAGTAACTAAAACCCCCGAGAAATAAGTTTCAAGCGAATTTGAAGAATTAAAAAAAAAATGTCCGACATATTTGATCCACCAGTACGAATTTTAAAAATCTAACTTCAGAATTAAAATCAACGACTCCAAAAACTCCTAAGCAATGAAAACAACATTTTGTCAATTGTTTCGCGTTATACAGTTATTCACAGAAAGTTTTTATATAGTTTTTCATCTATATTTAATTCTCGATCGCGTGATAAATTTATCAATGTATATGTTTTTCATTTTGTTTTAGACTGGAATAATCTGTTCACTACGAAATGTTACGCCTGTGGATTTCCAGTAGAAGCAGGTGATCGCTGGGTCGAAGCTCTTAACAATAATTATCATAGTCAGTGCTTCAACTGCACGGTAATTATTTAATAATAAATTATACTATTCGAAGTTTTGAAACTTTGTTGTCGAAAAACATTATTTAAGTTTTATAAAAATAATAATACTTTAAGTGGAGTGAATCAATTTAAATGCATGAAAGAATGATAATGAAAAGAATAATTAAAATTATTTTAAGAAAAAAAAGAAAAGAATATTTCATTATTAACTTCAACAAAAATAAAGTTTCTTGTAGTCTTCTATTATTGAAAATTAATACAGTTTTGCATTTTAAATACGTACATTATTATTTCTTACCATAATTTTGACTCACCTAAATATATCCAGTAGAAAAAATATTATTTAAACTTTTATCAATACAGTATTAACTAAACTCAAATTTTTTTCTAGATGTGCAAGAAAAATCTCGAGGGCCAGAGCTTTTACGCGAAAGGTGGACGTCCATTTTGTAAAAATCACGCACGCTAATATCTATAGTCATTGCATTCTAATATTAACGAAACCAAAAATACAAAACAAAAAAATTAAATAAAAATTAACAGTAAAAGTGTTAAATAATTATAACAATCAGATACAATTTTTAAGGGTAAATATTTTTAGAAGGTTCGGATAACAATAATAATAACAACATTAATAATATGAAAATAATATCAATTACAATATTGATTGATTGTCTTTTGAATACTTCGTACCCTCTATTGTAAAGAAAATTCTATATTAACCAACACAGAGAACATTTATGTTATAACTATTGGCTAAATTGGTATGTAAAAAATCATCTTGTTTACTATTATATGTAAATATAATATGAGGACTGTGAAATTATCAGGGGTTATCGTTATGCACATTAGCCTTAAATTATTAGTAAAGTTTCTCTAATTATTAATATTATGTCGACCAAAAAACGATAACTTTTGTTCTTCCATGGAAATCTAAGCAGATCAGTAAAATATTGTATATTTTTCTAAGATATTTGAGCATAATTACGTCAATAATAATAATCCATATCAATTACATACCAATATACTGAATAATCAAATTAATATCCGTATTAATTCGATTAACGCCAAAATATTGATTAATTGATATTAACGACCGATTTTACATAAATTGTGGACTGCATATTTTGTTAGGTAAGGTTACCGAAATTTGTGCCATCGTCAAGCTGATGCCAAAGCACACAGTCATGATAAAAAAGAAGCTTTGGCACAGTTTTGCCAGTAGGAAAGATTCTGTAAAATTATACTTATCTCAGAAAATTACAGCTGCGTCAATTATATACAATAAATAATAATAATATTAATACAAAATTATATTAAAAATAATAAATTGATATCAGTGAAAATAATATACTGAGAGACATAAATAGACGTCAATTGAATGTGAGTGTGAATAAATGACAGGGATATGTGATACTATATGTACAAGATAATATTTATCAATAAGATTCAAAACTTGCTTCTATAGAGAAAATATTAGATATATTGACACGGACCGACAAAACGTGAGAACAGATTTATAACAATTAATAAGTCTCACTGTATCAGCGTGTCTTCTATTTTGTTGCTATTAAAATAAAAAGAATTGAACAAGAAGTACCTTTTTTATATTTTGAATTACCATCTACCATATAGTAAAGCAGTTATAATGTCATATTAAAATCACAAATAAATAAAAATGATGTTCGAGATTATTAATAATAACTTTATTTAACGAATGTACGTGCTAATATATTTTACACAATGAAACATCAGTTTACAGCACAGTCTTTTAAAAAACAATTTTCTGTTAACATGGCAACGATTGACAGTGAACTGAGATTTATATATAAATGTTGTAGTTTTCAGAACTGAAAGTTTTTTAAAAAAAATGTAATTTCTTAGTTTTCGTAGTAATTTAACAAATACCTTTAATGCATCAAGATGATGCGAGATGAAGTAAAAACAAAGTGTGAAACGTTTTTCTTGGTTAATAATTACTTATATTTTCTTGTGTAAATTACATTGCTTTTGATTCAATAGCTATAGCAAGACTGACCCTTCTTTCCAAATTTGCGCACCTTACACACACTTCTAAGACACGCACAAGCTTACAAAGATAACACGCATTCTCTCACAGTACTCTCACAGCAAAGCACATATAGTATCAATCATGCCGCCCACCTTGAAAGACCAGTCGAATAAAAAGAGATAAAGTTTTTCAATAAAATTTTCTCAATTAAATTATCACATTGTTAAATAATTAAAATTTAATTTGTCGATGATTTTTTAAGATCAGAATATAATTCAAATGTCCAAAGGAAGAATACAAACTCTCGGTAATGATCTTTTTAACACTCCTGCATTCGTCTTTACACTTACAACCCTTATCAATCCATCCACTCCGGGATGCAATTCGCATATCCCACCTAACTGCCACCGAAGTGGAGGTACATTATCACTTTTTATGACAACCAATTGTCCAATTTTTAACATACTATCATCAGTTTTTGATCTCCACTTCGATCGAGCCTGCAATTGTGTTACATATTCAGAAGCCCATCTTTTCCAAAAAGATTGGTGCATCTGAGAAATCAATTAAAATCTGTTTGTACGGTTTCTCGGCACATCCAGTACATCTTCCTCCAGGACTGAATTTAATGCAGTCCCTATCAGAAAATGTCCTGGTGTGAGCGCACTCAAGTCAGCAAGGTCAGCTGTTATCGGACATAACGGTCGCGAGTTTAATGTCGCCTCAACTTGGACAATTATTGTATACAATTCTTCGAACGTCAAGAATGCATCTTTAATGACAGCCTTCAAATGCGTTTTTGCTGATTTGACGGTAGCCTCCCACAATCATCCCATATGAGGTGATTGAGGAGGGATGAATTTCTACGAGTTTTTTAACGCGAATTCCAATATTTTTGATTTAGTCTCAGATTGTGACAATGAGTATACGATCTGTTTTAGTTCGTTATCCGCCCAACAAAATATTTTCCATTATCTGACGATATACTAATGCATTTACCCCGTCGAGCAATGAATCTTTTTAAACAATTTAAAAAAGAATCAGTTGTCAAATCCGAGGCCAACTCAAAATGAACAGCTTTTACAGCTATACAAACAAAAACACATAGATACGCCTTTCCTGTTTTATTTCTCGACAATTTAATATTAAACGGCCCGGCATAGTCCAACCCGGTATGAGCAAAGGCTCGAGATGGCATTACACGTATGTCTGGAAGATCACCCATTAATTGATTTAAACTAACCGGACGAAGTCGAAAGCACAATAAACACTGCCCCAATACATGTCGAATAGCGCTTCTCGCACTCAAAATCCAACATTCTTCTCGTAGTGTCGCTAATAACAAAGAAGTCCCTGCGTGAAGATTTCTATAGTGACAGTCACGTATGATCAAGTCAGTCAGTGTATGATTTTTTGACAAGATAATTGGGAATCTTTTATGGTATGAAATTGGAGCTTGGGAAAGACGTCCCCCCACCCTCAATAATCCCTCATCGTCAAGGAATGGATTTAACGATGACAATCTTTCAATTGGTTTTTTGTTATGAAGATGATGAATCTCTCGTCCAAATTCTTCTTTTTGATGTAGTTTTAAAATTGCCAGTGTTGACTTTGATAATTCCTTCTATGTGATTTGTTCTGATTCTCGAGTTGTTCCATGTGACTTGTTTAGAGCATTTGTTTTAAAGCGCAAGCAATATGCGATCACTCTTCTTAATTTATTCGAACATGAGAATTTTTTTAGAATGGAAGAATCCTCTTCTACTGCGGTGAATGTGAGAGATAATTTCTTCATTTCAGGTACGTCAATCAGTGTCGCGTCAGTGCTGGGCCAACTGTCTTCATCTTGCTCCAACCAAGAAGGTCCATTCCACCACAATCTTGAATCCTTTAATTCCGACAAACTAGACCCTCGAGACAAAATATCCGCTGGATTGGTTTTTGTTGGAACATGATTCCAATCACTAATTTTCGTCGTTCTTTGGATTTCTGCTGCCCCATTGCTGACGAATGTTTGCCACCTTGAAACATCTCCTCTGATCCAGGCTAGAACAAACATGGAGTCGGTGCAAAAGAATGTGTCAAATTTCAGTGTGAGTGCTTTCTTTACCTTGCAAACCAGTGAAGACAACAATACCGCCCCACAAAGCTCCAACCTCGGAAGACTGATCGTTTTCAAAGGAGCAACTCTTGATCGAGCACAGAGCAAGCTAACCTGAATTCTTCTCTCGCAATCATGAGAACGGATGTATATGCAGGCTCCATAAGCCTTCTCTGAAGCGTCACTGAAACCATGCAACTGTATCCCCCGTGAATTTGGTATGACTGCATGTCGAGGAATACTGATGTCTCCTATTATTTTCAATTGATCACAATGCGATTTCTATTTATTTTGAAGATCTGTTGGTATTGGACTATCCTAATTGAGATTTAGTTTCCTTAAGAGTTGAAGTAATATTTTTAGTTTGACTATGAAGGGTCCAATCAATCCTAAGGGATCATTAATTTTAGAAATCACTGCCAAAACAACACGTTTTGTCACGGCTCCACCAGTAATTTCATACGACGTTCGAAACTTCAATACATCCTCACTTGGCTGCCATAACAACCCTAGAGTTTTAATTTCGGTAATCTCATGATCAAGATTTTGATCATCTATGTTCTTAACGTTTGAGTGAATCTTGCGCACTACAAATCCTGCCGACTGTAAGATGCTCATTGTATAATTCTTGATCTGGTGAATCTCCTCTGGTGTTTCCTTGCTCGTCAATAGATCATCGACGTAAAAATCATTCCTTATCACATGAGCTGCCACTGGATGAGTTTCTTGATGATCATTTGCCAATTGAGATAAGCAACGAGTGGCTAGATAGGGAGATGATGCAAGTCCATATGTGACCGTGTTGAGCTGATATGTTGAAATGTACTTATCGGGATCATCACGCCACAAGATGAAATCAGGATCAGCCAGCTGGATATGTGAAGGAATAGAAAGGTCGTTTACATCTATTTGTGTTGTAGGGATATAATGAGATATGTTCTGTGTGATAAAAAAATCAGCTGTGGCTTTATATGAATTTTGCGTTGATGCAACTGTCGTTTTTGCGTAAGTCGTGATTTGAGTCTGGATTAAGTTAAGTCCTGAAATAGTATGATTCAAATGAAATTCTTTTAAACCCAGTTTTATTCGCAATTGATTTGTCATAACATTTGGCATTGATCCGCTATCAAGTAATGCTCGTGCTTTTATAAATTTTCCGTGTTTATTTTGTATAAGCACTATGGCGGTTGAGAATAATTTTTTAGTCGAATGTGTAATTATGTGTAAACATTGAAACAGATCTCGTTGCGTGTTGACTCGCGTTATTCGTTTGATTAGGAATATTTTGTTCAATATTTTTTGTTAAGTGTAAAAGCGAATGATGTTTCCCACTACAGTGCTTACACAATCGCGATTATCATATATTTAATCTAATTTATTTAAATAAAAATGTGAACAAAAAAAATTATGTTTAATATACAAATATAATTATGTGAAAATTAGTTGTCAAGAAAATTTCCTGAAATAATTTTTAGGTTAAGGACGTTTATCCATGGAAATGCAGACCTCTAGAAAGAATAATTAATTAAAATTTAAATAATTAAAATAACATTATTAATTCTACTTTCTGAAAGATAAGATAATAATTTTCAAGAAAAAAATTTGTAAACATGTAAAATTTATTTGCTTATACATTTTTGATTGTATAAAATTTTTTTGTTATATGACTTCTACAGAATTTTTTAAAAATAATTTGATTTCAATGTAATATGGATTATTTTCTTCAGAAAATGATTCTCTACAACTTCACCGTTGGTATTTTTAAACAAGCAAGCCGTTTGGCAAATACAGCTACTTGTTTAAAAAATGTGTAGATTTTACAAAATATGTAGCTAACCTTTTTGAAATTGACTTACATATTGCTTTACTAGAAAAACTCAAAATTCCTGAAAAAAGCTCAAAATTCTTTTTTATCTTAACTTTAACCATTTTTTAGACAACCATCTCAAATTTTGTACATATCTTCCTATATTACAAAAAGATATCGCCGCCGCTGTTTCAAGAATTCTTGACCTAGGAGGGGGGAGTCCCCCCTCCTAAATTTTGAGGTTATGTTCGTTTCAAGGCTCTGAATTTAGCCGCAAGTCCCCCTCCCTCCTCTCATTTCCCCTTCTCCGCCAAAAATGACCTAAATTTTGAGGTTATGATTGTTTTAAGACTCTAAATAAAGCAGTAAGTCCTTCCTCCTTCCCTCATCTCTCTCTGTATTTCCCGCCAAAAATGCCATAAATTTTAAGGTTATGTAAATTTCAAGACTTTCAATATAGCCGCAAGTGAAGGTGGAGTTTCCGCCAAAAATGACTTGAATTTAAAGGTTAATGGAAAATTTAAAAAAAAATGATTAAAATAGGGGGGTTGGCGCGCGAAGCGCGCAGGGGGGCGTAGCCCTTCTAGTATATGTATATATATATATATATATTTACAAGCAACTTGAAAGAAAATTATAGGAAATTATTTTTTTTAAATATATATAAACATTTAAATAATCGTGAACGGAACCCTAGGTAAGCGAGTGTATAACACGCACTTGACCAATGTTTTATGTTATTTATCGTTTTTCGATTTTTCTCTAGAAATAATCACTTTTGGTAAAAAGTTTAAACAACATAAAATGTGTGTTTTTTAAACATACAACTTAAGGCTAAAACAATTTTCGAAATTTTTCCTTTTTACGAGTTAATTGCAAAAAACCATGATTTTATGTTGTTTTTTATGGTTTTCACCATAATAATCAAATTTTCGACAATTTTCACTATCATTTTAGTAATTAGCGCACCAGTAATTAACGACCCCAAAAACCCTCGACTAATGAGCTTTGAGAGAATTCGATTAATGTTTAATTGTTTTCATCCGCCATTATAGATCCAGCTTTTGGAATTTTGAAAATCTATTATTATATTCGTAATCAACGACCCCAATAACCACCGGGTAATGAGCTTTGAGAGAATTCGACTATTGATTAATTGTTTCATTTTGAAAATCTGTTATTATATTCGTAATCAGCGAATCCAAAAACCCCCGAGTATCGAGCTTTCAGAAAAATTCGATTAGGGTTTAATTTTTTTGATCCGCCTTTTCGAATTTTGGAAATCTGATATCACATTTGTAATTATCGACCCCGGAAAACTCCCAATTAACATTTTTTATGAATGTTCAATAAGTTTTTAGCATTTTTGCTTCCTCGTGGAGGAAGCTTTGTAGTCCTCTCGTTTATAAAAATTTTCAAAGTGTCAAAAACAAATTTTTTTCTATATAGAAACATGATATATGAGATCCTGATCAATTGTCCGGATGTATGTATGTGTGTGTGGATCCCTTTTTTATTTAGACTATAACTTTTACAGGTTTTAATGGATTTAGATAAAATTTGGAAAGCTCATTTATCATATTAATATCTCAAATCTGACCAAAGGATTTTAAAAAATACCCAAAAAAAATTTTATCGTTTTTTTTCCAAAATTTTTTTTAATCAAAAATTTTTTTAAATAGTTAAATTTAAGGTTATATATAATAAAATTGTAATCCTTACGTCAAGACAAATCGATTGGTATATATAAAGTATAGTTTCAATTTAAATTAAAAGAATTAATGAAAGTTAAAAAATCAAAAATTCACATTTTGGCAATAAAATTTTGTGAGTTTATAAATTGAACTTTATATATGAAATAATTGTATTCCTTGCATGAAAACGAATCGATTGGTATATATAAAGTATACAGTTAAGGTAAATTTAATAAATTAATGAAAGTTAAAAAAAAATTCCCATTTTAGCTGAAAAATTTTGTATTTATTTAAATTCAAGTTTAAATATAAAATAATTGTGTTCCTTGCATTGAAACAAACCGAT